TAAAATGTATCGTCAGCAATGTATGACAAGCAGACTGCTTGTTTAATGTTAGACTCACACCAATAGCTCAATATGATCATAACACGATTGCTTTCATATCAGAGATCAGATGAGGTGGAGCTGCCTCCAGCAATAGAGGATGAGGCAGAGAGAAGCAGCAGCAGCAGCACAGGGTTGCAGCAGGTATGTTATATGCTGTAGTCAGGTGATTTAAATGTATCGATGAAAGGAAGAAGTGTAGGCTACATGATAAGAAGGGAATACAGTTTGAATTAAAGTAATAAAGTACAGTGTAACAATGTTCTTTATTACTTTTTAATGTAAAAATACTTTGTTACTGTACGATATCAATAACAATAATCCACAGCTCCTCTCTCTCTGCTCCAGAGAATTTAAAAAATGTGGGTGCCCCGAAAATTTGTTTCGGGGTACCCGAGCAGCACCCTGCCAAGGCAGTAAACCTAGGGGAAACACTGGATTGTAATATTAGTCATGTCTTAAGGCTGATGATGATAACAGTCTGCATGACCATTTTGGCTTACCCTCCACTTCAAATGCGGGTCTCAGGTTTTTATTTATTTAAGGTGATAAAAGGGCTTCCCATTTGCTTGTATTTACTCTTGCTTGTATGTAAATCAAAAAAGGTTTCTGATGAAGAAGATGAGGGAGACAAAGGTCCAAGCCGAGAGAAGAAGGAAGCCATGGTCAGAAAACTGCAGAAAAAGTTTCCTGACCAGGACAAGGAGGTGAGGACTGAAAGACTGTCTCCGAAGCATTCGGACATTTCATTACTGAGAGTGGTATTGTTTTCACCTTATGAGTCTTTGTGTGTCATCATTGCAAAATGTGCTCCTGAATACATTTACTGTAGCAAGAGCTACCACAGAGCAAGTAGTACTTTTGCTGATGTACTGGACTTGCTTTGTGAGCCGTGGTAGGGGTGTAAGAAGTGCCCCCCACTTTATGCCCCTGGCACAATTTGGCATTATTGCTGGTCTGATCCCATTGTAGTGTTGATTACAGGTTTAGTAGAACCTGATTCCCCCCTTTCAAACTGTTCAGGCATTGATGATGATGACATGAAAACTGTGGGTGTGCTGGGCTGCCGTATAGCTCAGTTGGTAGAGCTGGCGGCCCGTGTACTGTCATCCCCTCTGTCTCCCCATTTCAAGCCTGTCTCTACAATAAAGGCACTGGTTGCCCTGAAAAAAAGAATACAAACTGTTCTCAGCATCCAGGACAGACCACAATGAAAACAAATGTATTGATTTTGCAAGGCTGATTTAGGAAATGGTGGATCTTATGTTTTACTTCTGACTCTTGCTGATGTCTGTCTTGTTGCAGGAGCTGCGTCTGGTTCTGCGGGAACACGACTGGAATGTAGAGGATGCTCTGCAGGTTCTACAGATGTTCTCAGACCCCGGTACGTACAAAACAGCTGTCATCTGAATCTAGCCATCTTTTAACTGGCCTGGTGTATATGTGTGTGTATATATGTATATATGTATATATGTATATATATATATATATATATATATACTCATTCTGACACAGATTCCGGCTAAGACTTTCTTTATTTCTATTGTCAGATGAATCCAGTTTCAGCTCTCCTGACTCGAATGAAAACAAATCCAGGAAATCCAAGAGCAAGGAAACGTCGAGCAAGGACCACAGGAAGTCGAGGTTACACAAAGATCACAGAGACAGTAAAAGTAGAAAAGATCGAAAAGACTCCGAAGACGACATATCAAGTGAATCAGAGGAGGACAATAAAGGTGATCCAGATGGTGATACAGAAGTTACACAGGACAGTGAGGATCCAGATTCCGACAGCAGTGTAAATTTGAGAAACAAAAGAAGCACTTCAACACTTGTAAAAAGTCCTGACTTGGTTTCTTCATCATCCTCTGTCAAGAAATTCACTACCTCTGCATTCCTGATGCCATCCTCCTCTACCTCTCCTGCTCAGATGCTTTCCAGATTTGCCAGTGGGACCAGTATAGCTAAGAAGCAGGCAGCAGAGAGAAAGAAGAAGGTTCTTGCCTCAGATGAACATGTCAGTTCTGAGGGTGAAAATGACGATGAAGAGGAACCGGCAAGCAGTGAGTTTGAGGACTCGGATGATGAGCTGGATTGTAAAGGTGCCATGACGGATCTGAAGAAAGAGATGCTCCAGTTCTTCCAGGACGCAACGATCGATGAGCTGTCGCTAATCTCTGGGTGCTCTGTTAAAAAGGCAAAGAAGATTTTGGAACGGAGGCCCTTTGAGGGCTGGCAAAGTCTGGTGAGAGAATGCTTTTGTGTGTTTCGGAATGAATGAGGCAAGAAACATCAAATAGACACGCAGGTGTTTCTTTCATGTCATTTTAAACAGTTTGCTAAAGTTATCGATAGGAAAAGTTGTGAATACAAAGAACTACAGTCGGTCATAGAATCTTCCATCCAAACACCTGGAAAATGTGTGACATGTTCATTCACACACTATGTACTTATTGAGCGCACTACTCCACGGTCTTGTAGATACAAGACATTCGCACAATGTATTGAATAGCTAAACTATTTTTCAGCTCATAGCACATCTTTCACACGGCTCTCTTTTATTAGATTTACTTTCCAAACACTTTATTATCTTTTAATATATCAAACTTAACAATAATGTTAGCAGTGTGTTCGGCCCTATAAGGGTCAGTGATTATTCACTGTCAGGACATTCAAGGAATACTGAAAGATTGTGTTAATGGTTACTGTGTAGATACTCCACATATTGTGTGAGTCTTGACAGTTTGCTCTTTCCTCTTTTAGGTTGATTTCTTCACTAAGGACAAGGGACTATCGGAGAACTTACTGATGGGCTGCAGAGTTGTCTTAAAAGAGCGGAAGGTTGTCTTGGGGCTGATGTCCAAATGTCAGACGATTTCCTCAAAAATGGTCAAACAGGTCACTACGGTAATGGAGAGGGGCACAGCGGCCATGAAACAGCCCAAACTCCTCAACAGAAAGTGAGTAAATGCACATAAATAAAAAACATAATTCATTTGAGTGTACCCACCAGCTGTTCCAAACTCTCATTCGGCAAATATAAAACTGATGGGTGCATTTATGTTTGTCATTATATGTTCTAAATATCCTGGGTTTCATTTTTTGAGAGGGTTGTGGTAGATCCCTCCAACAGTGTCACTGATCAGGGGTTTTTCTAGAAAAATATAGTATGAGGACAGTACTGTAGTGCTGATCTTGTAAATAAGATATATTAATTCTCGCGAGAACATGACGCCCGTATTAAAGATGGCGCCGCAGACGTAAACAACAACACCATGTCGGAACTCCATAAAAACAAAGCTGTCTGACGGTCTATTTGACACGATTTTCCTATTTTTTGAGTAATCATACAGTTTTTGATGACCAGCAATATTGTTTTCTGCTCATCACTTTACATTATTTTACGGGGAAAATCTGCATTTTGCTATGAGGGCGCACGCCGAAAGTAAGAGGGCGCGGCGCCCCTCTCAGCCGGTTTAGACAAAACCCAGCTGATATTACAAGGGTCGCATCTTTTAATATTTGTTAACAGGGCTCAACGCTAGCTTTTGGTTAACAAAACTGAAAATACGGTTGCCATTTTTAGTCACCTTATATTTTAAATAATGAAGATACTATACAGTTATACATCAACTTAATAATGAACATGTGACACAAAAGAATGTTCAAATGCTTTACAAAAGTAATTAACACAATTATTTGAATCTTAAGTGGTAGTAAACTTGTCCACCCTCAATTGCTGGTATACAAAACACCAGTAGTGCAGCTGTTGTCATGTTCTTCACAGATCCCAAAAAAATGAATTGAGCAAGTCACTAGTTTCTTGGTCATCCGTTGTCTCCCTTTCAAATGTGTGCTGACCCCCACCATAGATCCATTGGCCTTCAGCATTGAAGTCTTGATTGTGGTTCTGTCATTGGCCAGACTAATACATTTCTAATGTTAAATAAATGAAAACCATTCACAGTTAAGAATTAGATATTAATTATTATAATGCTAACTATATTTAAAATGTGTTACCTTTTTATAAAAGTGATTATATTTTTATGCTAATATTTTCATTTGGTAAAGTTTCGTTTAGCACTTTCATTTTGGTAGTAATAAGATCGGGACTCTTATTTTGAAGGAACTTTTACCGGAAGTGAATGCACAACGCAGCAGAATGTGTATATATATTTTTCGCCTCCCAAGACTTTACACATTTCCTCTTTGCTTTCGTCCGGGTTCATCCTGCGCTTTATCAGTTGAATACCTTTGAACATTCGTTTGAGATGTTGACGGGTTGGCCAAACTTTTTACCCCACAGTCAAACAACTTCATTTGCTTCGCCATTTGTTGTAAAACAAACACACCGCGCACGCGAGTAAACGTGCATCGATTTCTGGCTCCGTAATCACACCAATGCACGTGTAAGTATCAGGTTCCGACTGGTCACATCAATAATTAGATATCACTCCTAATACAACAAATAATTAACATTTATCTATTTTGGGGTGCACATTTAGCTGTTTGCTGTCCTTATTTCTTCATGTTAAAAACTGGTTGCCACTGATGGCAACCAAAGGCCAAGAAGTGGTTGACATTTTTTCTGAACCACCAATCGCTACTTGGCAACCATTACTGTCGAGCCCTGCAATGAAAAAGCAGCATTGGATGTTTCCGAAGTGGTCACAATGGCAACAAGCAACAAGTCTAGTGCTCGGAGCAGCATTAAGAGTTCATCTTCATCCTTGAGTGTAGCTCGCTCCCGAGCTAAAGCGGAAGCCGCTAAGGTAAGAGCCTTGTATGCTGGCGAAGAGGCTAAACTGAAAATGGAAAAGGCTCAAAATCAGCTGGAAAGAGTAAGAATAGACACAAAGTTGGAAGTGTTAACGCTACAGCGGGAAGCTGATGCAGCCGTGGCGGAGGCACAAGTATTGAAAAATGCTGAAGTCATGCAAATTGAAGTTGAGAAATGCAAATCGGAATCTGAGAAGGTTAAAGCTGATCGCACAAGTGAATATGCTCAATCCCAAATCAACCTCCAGATTCTTCATCCTCCCTCACGACGCTCGTCAGTTTTGCCCGTTGCTTTCCCCTTACGTGCTGAGTTCCACGAAAGCTTCATAACGTGGATTCCACCCGAAAGGAACATTTCACAACAGATTGACGGTCAGCTAAAGCCTGTAAAGAGTGAAAATATTAATTGACCTGCCCCAGACGAACCTGAATGGACTAAGGTAGAGACAAAGTCTGAAGCCAGCAGACCAAACCCCACCATGAACATACATGCTCAGTCATATACTCCACAACATATTCCTCGAGCTAGCTCACCAGCTACGATGGAACCTTTGGCACAGTATTTGGCACAACGAGACCTTGTCAGTTCAGAAATGTACCAATTTGACGATAAGCCTGAGAATTTCCATGCATGGTACTCCTCATTCACCAGTGCAGTCAGGGAAGTTCACCTCACAGCAACTCAATAATTGGACCTCATGACAAAATGGCTGGGAAAGGAATCTGGTGAGCAGATAAAACGCATTCGTTCAGTGCATGTGAGTAACCCCAGTCTGGCTTTACACAGAGCATGGCAGTGACTTCATGAGTGCTATGCTGCTCCTGGATAATCGAAGAGTCCCTTTTTCAGCGGTTAGACAGCTTTCCTAAGATTACAGCCAAAGAACACACCAAATTACGGGAACTTGGAGACTCGCTTATGGAGATCCAAGGCACTAAAGAAGATGGTTATTTAACTGGGCTGTCGTATCTGGACACTCTGGAATTGGGCCTATCGTAGACAAGCTACCTTATGGGCTCCAAGACAACTGGGTATCGGTTCAAAGAAGAGAACCACGGTTGCTTCCCTCCCTTCGAGTTTTTTTGCAGCTTTGTGTGCAATGAGTCGAAGAAGAGAAACGATCCCAGCTTTAGGCATCAGGGAAACACCGCAACACCCACAAAACCAGATAAAGTCTTTGTGAATAATTTTAACACCAACAAACCCATCCCAGTGCACAAAATTGAGCAAGAACTGCCCATTACATAATCAACCTCATCCGCTAAGAAAATGTAGAACATTCCGAAACAAACTCCTCGACGACAGGAAAGCGTTTCTCAAAAGAGAAAGGAATATGTTTCAAATGCCGTTCTTCATTCTCCCATCTAGCCAAAGACTGCAAGACTTCTGTAAAGTGTTCTGAGTGCGACAGCACATATCATGATGCAGCCATGCATCCTGGTCCAGCACCTCAAAGCTTCAAGGCTCCTTAAATGTCACAAGAGAACGGCAGGGAGGGAGAAGATTCTAACCAGAACGTTGTTAGAACTAGCTGCACATAAGTTTGTGGACTAGGTCAGTGCTCGAAAATCTGCCTCGCAAAGATATACCCCAAGGGTTCTAAGGACATTGCCATTAAAGCCTATGTAATTTTGGACGACCAGAGTAATCGCTCATTAGCTACCCCTGAGTTCTTCAAACTATTCAACGTAGAGAGCAAACCATCCTCATACTGTCTCAGAACTTGCTCTGGCATAGTTGAAACATCTGGCAAGAAGGCAGAAGGATTTCAGATTGAGTCTCTGGATGGAAAAGTCCTCATCTCTCTTCCACCAATCATTGAATGTCACGAGATCCCAAATAATCGGTCTGAGATTCCCACACCCAGTGCTGTTCTTCACCAGCCTCATATTCATCATATTGCCAATCAGATCCCATAACTGGACCAAGAAGTCGAAATACTTCTGCTCCTTGGAAGAGACGTCCTTCAGGCACACAAGATCAGGCAGCAGGTCAACGGACCACACAACGCCCCCTTTGCCCAACGACTGGACCTGGGCTGGGTAGTGATAGGAGAGGTGTGCCTGGGTAATGTGAGACGCCAACAGTTGGGTCGCTCCACTACCATTTAGAGAACCACGCAGGCCTTTGCCGAACAACAAAGTGCAGGCAGTGAACAGGTTCACTTCCCTGCAACGAACCTTAAAAAGGAAACCTGAGACGCAGGAGCAGTATGTGGCGTTCATGGAAAAGATCTTTGCCAACGGACATGCTGAGTTAGCACCGCCATTGAGAGAAGATGAGGAGTGCTGGTATCTCCCAACCTTTAGGGTGTATCATCCTAAAAAGCCAAACATTATCAGGGTGGTCTTTGACTCCAGCGCCAAGTACTCTGGTGTCTCCCTCAACGACGTTCTCCTCACGGGTCCAGACCTCAACAATTCCCTACTTGGTGTCTTGTTACGCTTCCGGAAAGAAAAGATTGCAATCCTTGCCGACATTCAGCAGATGTTCCATTGCTTCCTGGTGCAGAAAGACCATCACAACTTTCTCCGTTTTTTATGGCACAAGGACAACGATACCAATAAGGAAATTATTAGGGATGCACCGAATATTCGGCCGCCGAAAATTATCGGCCGAAAATGGTTAAAAAGGCCCTTTCGGCTTTCGGCCGAAAGGGTTCTTGCACCGAAAAAATATCACCGAATGTCAGAGAACAGGGTTACGTTGGTAAGCTAACGTGTTGTTGTGATGACGTAATCAAAACGCGGCGACAAGCACGGCGCGTGACCATGCTCGCGGCTGGCTCACAGCCAACATGTCTGCCGCTTGGAGATATTTAAAAATATCAGAGAAAGAGGCGCGGATTGCGATTTGTAAAACGTGTTCAGCTGACATTTCTCGAGGGGGTGTAACTGCAAAGACTTTCACCACTTCGGGATTACTCCACCACTTGAAATCAAAACACCCGGACAAATATGCGGAGTAAGATCAAATCACAAGCACTGACAGCGAGAGACTGTTCAGCGCTGCCTCTCATGTGCTTGATGAGAAGAGGAACAGACTTATGGCTGATAAAGCAGAGAAGCTAATGTTCATTAAAAAGAACCTCCCACTTTTCCTTAATAAGTAGACGAGGCTGG